CTCTAGTTGTTCTAATAAACAGCAGAGAAGCAAACCAACTAAGTGTCCTGTGTGATTATAGGGGGAGGAAGTCGATCTGGATCGATGGACACAAACAAACAAATTAATAACCTTAAACATGGCGAATGTGCGCGACTGATGAAGGACAGAACATTTCCAACTCTGTCAAACTGGATAAGAGTTTAAGGCCAGTAAATGTGCAGGGATGTAGTTCCAGTCTGACACAGATCTCAGAAAAAAGGCAGGCGAGACTTTAATATCAGGGCCGAGACTTTCCTTCAGCTCAGTGCCGTCAGCGTTGTCATGTTGAGGGTTATTTTGTTCCAAAACGCAAAAGATTTTTGTTTTTTCAGCTATTCTGCGGAAAAAAATATCTCACTGACATCTTAATGTGAAGTGTTTGTGAGAATGGACAAAATAAGTGCTGGTTTGCTGAAGGAACCGCGACAAATAAGGCGCTCTAATCCCCCGGTGGTTTGACACCGAGGCTGAGCTCAGAGAGTTTCCAATAAAGCCGAATGTCTGCACATGAAAATCTGCACGTCTGCCTGAGTTTCTGCAGGTGATGCATTTATACAGGCCATCTCTTCTGGTTTCACTCCATGTTTTGCTGGAAGAGTGGATCATAGCACCATCACAGATGACTTTTCCCCACATTTTCACCTTCGTGCAATTGTTCAATAATGCAATTTACTTTACACCTGCCCGTTTATGTTATGCTAACCACGTTTGCTTGGTGCTAATTCTGAATCCAGCAAGATCGTCTGATTTAACTTGATTTTATTGATATTTTTAATTAGATTATTGCATTATTTGTTATTTGTGCACAAACTGACAGCTTATGTATGTGTTTATTTTTTTTATTTTATTAGTAATTGATGTTAATTTTTTTTTTTTAAATCACTAGATGTTTGATCATCTCTGCTGTTGCGTCATTTTCAGGTGATTTAAATGCATAATGTTACAGTTTTGTTTACCTACAAAACTCCTGATTTTACTGACAAATAATTAAAAAGCAGCTTTCACAATTATAGCCTTTCTAATTATAACATCTATAAAAAGTTAGCCTATATAATAGGCTGTCTTTATTTGTCTTTGTACTCCAGCTGCTGTTCGCCATTTCAGATTTATACTGATTAACTAAATTCTTCCTCAGAGAAACTTTTATTGATGCCTCTGCAATTATTATTTTTTAAACACACCGTTAATGTGCAAATCGAAGAAATTGACTTGCTAAAAAACGCAATATAAATAGGTTTAATTTGTAGGCACAGAGTTGTTTCTGATTATTAAAGAAAGCCAAATTCCTCTCGGCTCTGCGTGCCTGTGGACTGAAACAGGCGATGTAATGACAATCGCAGAGATAAAAAAAGAAAAACATATTGAGATAATTACAGGCTGCTGGTACAGTGTGATGAGCAAGCTGACAGCATCATTGTGAAGCTGTTGCCACAGCTCTGAGGGCTAAATTAAACAGAAGATGGAGGGGAAACTGCTCCAGACTGCAACATGTGAGTCACAGCAGGCTTTAAATACATACGTATTTGTCCTCCCTCCTGTGATTTCTGTAGGTTTACAGGATGGCTGGTTGTTGCTCAGCAGTCTGACAGATTAGCTCCCACACTTTCTCCAGCACTGACAGATCTAACGCCTCAGTTTGAGGATTACAGCAGCAGGTCGGCGGACTGCGCTGTCACACTAAATATATGAGGTTCAGGGTGGAAGAAGAGAATTTGAAGCCCTCCCGAAACCACCGAGTCCAAAAGTGTTGAGGAAGTGTTTCAGAAGTAGAAGAACAAACTGTCCAAGAATGTACTGGTAAAACTGAGCCATCATTTTTCACTGAAACCACTTTTAAATACTTGGACACTCTCCCTATATCTCTATTGTTGTGTGTGTATATATACACTTATATGATAGGAAATTATAAATATAAATTCCCTTGGTTTCCTTATATGTTGCGTTCCCGCCATCGTCGCCCTGCAAACACAATGCTACTCTCTCTTTAGAAATAAAGTCCTCAAACATCACAGACACATCGCTGCTAGCATCCAATAAATAACCAAAAGTTTAACTGAAAAAGCATCCATAAATATGTAAACCATTCAAGAATCTGCAAATGAATTACCAGTACATGTAACACAGAAACCACCAACACAGTTTTAGAAATGATCCCCCTTACTTGTCCAACATCCAATTAACAAACTAATGGCATTACAACAGGAGAAGTGATCAGTTACTATAAAACAGGACAAATGATTTCAGAGCGCACAGCAGACCCACCACAAAGACTCGCTCTTAGTCACCGTGGAAACCCCAGTAAAACCTGCTGATGAGCAGAAGGCCTCTGTCTCATTGAGCCGGGAAACAACAGTAAACACATGTGTTTGTCTGTATGTCTGTGAGGGGTGGTGAAGAAGGACCCCCCACACTGATCAGTCTCGCAAAGGAATCCGAGCTGCTTTTAAAGAGCATTAGCATGAAAAACGCTCCACTTCTGGCTGTGGGTTTGAGCTCCGTTGTGCCAAAAACAAAAACAAAGCAATAGAAAAAAATGCTTTAACAAAAGAGAATCTCTTTCACGGCTCTGCTGATGGGCTGATGGTTGCTTTCTTTATCTGAGGAAGAGCTTTACCGCTGTGTTTTACAGTCGGGGAGGGTCAAGCAAAGCAAAGAGCTGGCTGAGCATCCCTCGTCTCTGGGGTTACCACGGCGACGGGGACATACGGTGACAAACAGAAACCCGTTTGTTAAATGTCACCCGGTGGTGTCGTCACCGGAGCTCCTGGCAGGTCAGGGGGTCAGGCGGAACGCATAACCCGCAGAGAGAGCAACGAGGCCTGGCCACAGTCTGCGGGGAGGCTCGGTCAGAGAACCAGCTGTTTGTCTGCTGCACACAAATTATCCAGATAAAAGGACAAGACAGGATGTAATGCACAGTGCTGTGAATTAAATCTATTGATTTGTTATTTTTGTGCATATTTTTTTACTTAAATATTTTAGATCATCAGCTACCATCAGGTAGGTTTGGATCATTTTTCCCCCAATAAAGGAAATTGTCATTTGTATTTACTACTCATTTTTGTTTAATATTAAAAGCCAAGAAATGAGAAGCTAACAAATCCTTTTTCACAGCCCTGCACCTTCACATTAATGATGTGTGTACAGTAATCACACAGAGGTTGGACAGGTTCTTAGAAATTCAAAGAAACTTTCTGACACATTTTAAAACTGCTTGGTGGTTTCAAGGGTGCAGATCTGACCATGAGTGCTGAATCCAAAATAAATCAAAGCTGTATTCTGTGTGCACCGCTAAGCAGCAAATTAAACGGAAGCATATTGAAACATATCTCCTAAAAAGACGAAGCTCGTTTATTAGAAGTGGTACCATTTAATTCAGACCACAATAAATACCAAAAGACAATCTTACAAAATAAAAATAAACCTTCTATTTTGAATATTATTAGAAGACTCAGTTTAGTGTAAAGCAAGGACAAAAATCAGGTGGCACAAGCTGTTATATAACAAAAGATTAAATTCACAGATTTCTGAATGTAGTCTGGTTTACTGAAATCTTATAAAAAATGGATAAACTAAAAGTAACATAGGTGTTTAAAAAAATAATTAAAGAAAAGTAAAGATATCAACCAAAGACTTAAAAACTGATTTTTCTGTTTCATTTTTTGTATTAATATATAAATTGAAGAGGTTTTCTTTATATACCAGTGCTTGGTAGATGTATTGATGTGATAGGCAATGATTTAGAAGCAGCTATAAAAATGAACATTTCTGATATATATTTAAAACATGCGCTGCTGAGTTTGTCTATTTCCTCAGAGAAAACCATCGAATGAAGGACAAAAAAGGATCTGAAGGCATGTTCTAGACAATTAATCACACAAAAAACAGTTTAATGATTAATGAAAGCAGCCAGAGCCACAGCAGACTGCATTTCACTGTATTAAAGTGTGACAGCACTCATGGAAAAGCACCAACAAGCACCAATCTGTCACAGCAGCTATGACTGCAACAATGACTGTTTTGGATCTACTAGAAGTACTGAAGTGGGGCTAAAGTGTTCTTGTATCCGAGCATATTTATCCTAAGAAACAGCAGCACTTTAACCTCACTCTCACTAAATTACCATTATAGAAATATTATGGGACATAAGCACCACAAGTACACTGCAGAAAACACTCTAAATACTGCAGCAAAACCACAGCAAAGGCAGTAGACCAACAATCAACTTATCAAGGATACTAAAAGCACAAACATAATGAATATTCCAGAAATCTCACTGCACAGCAGAATACCGGGAAACCCCAATAAAAGCTCAGTCCAAAGAATCTCACCAGCCACCGGTATACCTCGAAACCGGGGGTCGTTTTAATTTAAGGTCACAAGCAGCCCAGTTTAATGCTAAGGTGGGAGGATTACATTTAATGAACCCTGCATTTAAAACACAGGATGAAAGCCTGAGGGGGGAAAGTTCCGTTTCAATAACAGGTCTGCATTTTTCCACATTTCATCAGCTGACTGAACAATGTGTGTGCAGCACAGTTACGGCGTCTCTGTGAAGGCACAGGACACCGTAACTGTGCGGGACTTTGACTTGCCTGTGAGGTAACATGTATTTTAATGGAAAGCTGCTATTCACACAGTTTTACACCTGCTCCAAATGATTGGTGTGAAGGTGTGAATATATCAGATTAAAACATTAATGTGAGTGTGAGTATCACATGAACCATGCCGGAACACTGTCAAGTTTGAACACCACTTAATTAATCATTATAGGAATATTACGCCGCTGGCTGTTTGTGTTGATCCAAGAATTTACAGAAATTTGCATGTAGTCTGGTTAGCGCAAAGCGCCCCCCTATTAAACAGCTCGTTAGTCTGTCAGATAACTTATATTCAGCTCTGAAGTTACATTTCTGGCAAACTAAAATCAATTTAGTTAGTTATAAACCAGCGGTTAGTTTTCTGTTAATATAACTCACCCCACTGCGCGTACTCAGCGGCGCTGCGGCTCCTATGCAAAAGTCCCGTTTAAAAAATGTCCAAATATACAGCGAAGCGATGTCAACTGATCCCGGTCGCATCCACAAGAATCGTGCTGCTTGCAGCCAAGTTCTGGACTGACAGAGGCAGGGAGAGAGGAAAAGGGAGGTAGGGATCCCGAACGCTGCGCATGCGTGTTTACTCAGGTGAAAGGAAAAGCGCTGTCTCTGGTGCGCGCGTGTGTGCAGCTCAGATAAGCTCAAACAGCCCCTCCCTTGGCAAACAGTCAGGCTTCCCTTCTCATGGTTATGTTTATTTATGAAAAATAAATAAAAACACATCATATCAGTGTTAAGCAGCACACTGGGTGACAGCTTTTTTCAGTGAGTTTACCTTTGGTAGTTCATTACTACTTAAGGCTCATTTATTCTGCCATAAATATATAAAATATGACTGGATTTTCTGAATTTACCTGCTTTTACAGGGGGAGACTCTTTAGGTTACAAAACGTGTACAGAGGTCTGTGGATAAATTAGAGTACTCCAGACTGTCATTTATTTGAAGAGTTTATGGTTTGAATCACTGCATTAAAGTCTCATTTAATAGGACATGACAATTATGAGAAAAATCCTCAGTTTCTTACAACCTTTGGATTTCAATTTTTTGGGGGGGCGTTTTGGGGGTAAGGGATTTTTTCCTGACAATTTTCATCATGTTTTTATATAGAAGGTGTTATGACAGTAACATTTCTTCTAATTTCAAATGTGTAGAAATAAACTTCTGTGAGGGCTGATGAGGTCCTACCTCCACAAGCCACTCCAAACACAGCATCCACCCTTTTGCACCTCCTCGTAGCAGTCAGGAGCTATAATGATTATGCTTTATTGTGCCTTTTGACCCTAATAGTGACCATCATTTCCAAAGTAAACCCCATGTTAGATTCAACAACACTACAAATTAGTGACTGAGACCGTAAACTCCCTAAGAAAGTGTTTACTGAGGCGCCAAAGCAAAGAAGCTGAAGGCCTGCTCCTCCACAGACTTCTATCAATCAGACTTCTTTCTGCAACTGCCCCTAGTGGTCAGCAGAAAAAATACAGCTTTAAAGCTCTAATGTATTTAATAACAGATTGGGTCTCGATCAGTGGTCTCCTGCACTGTCATTGGCCATCGCTTAGAACGCTCACCCTACTGTTGAGAAAAGTTTATCTCGGGTTCCACAGAGAGCATCGCCTGTGTTCAGTTAGCCAATCAACTACATACACTACTAGCTTTCCACTTCTCACTTGGTACATTGTCTCCTTACTTTCCAGACGCTTTCTTCTTTTTGTTTAATTTTTTCCTCATGTATGACCTTTCCCTGTTTTTGGATTTTTGCCCTTTGCCAGCCTCTTGTAGGAAGTGTTTCCTTGTGAGCGCTTTGGATTTAGGGGTTTACTGCATTTGTGTCTTCTGCTCCTCCTGTGAACACTTACAGTGATTTGTTAAGAGATTTCAGTGACCAACAGATGGACACCATCCCTACAACAATGGGACAAATTCATCACTAAACGAATATTAAAGTAATACAAACGCACATCTATGTTAGAAAGACACACCTTCAAACAAATACGAGTAAAGCAAAGCTGAAGCTACTCAGTGCGTGCTTCAGTCTTGACAAGTTAATCATCGAGTTTGTGGACGAACCTCTTTAAAAAAAACAAAAAAACAAAACTGGAGCTGAGACAAGAGAGGTGGGAGTCTTTGTGAGAAACTCTATCCCGCTGGTGAAATGTTTGGGAAAATGAGCCTGGATGCAGGAACACACATTCACAGACTCGCTCAGACAAATAGTAGAATCAGTTTTGTGTGCTGGTGTTGCCAGGTGAGTAATTGCCTCTCTTTAAAGCAATCAGAGCAACAGAACCACAAACAGACCAGGGTCTTATTCTAAAATCGCTTCAGTGATCCCCTCCATTTAAAGCAAGAATCACAACACTGCATACTAATACACCCTGCTTCAAGTCTAGTCCTTTTATTCTTGGAAAACAATTATAATGACACTGTGCACACGTAGATTTGATGTTTTAAGGTTTCTTGTTGCTGGTGTTAAGTTGAGCTTGAAGGAAAGTCAAGGTTAGGCCAGCATCTGTCATCATTAAAGAGTCTGATGAGTGAAGGACATATTTTTCTTGCATAATATACACATTTTTTTTCTGGAATTCAGTATGTTAAATATTAAAATGATGGATGGTCAAAATTTTAATGGTCAAAATTTTAAATACTTTGATATAAATGCAAAAATGTGAGTCTTTCTGAGTCTATAGCTGATGTTTTATCTGCACATCCAGAAAGTAGTTTAGCAATTTACAAGTGCTGGATGCTGCCCCTCGGCAAGCTTCCAGATGCTGGTCAATGAGATGAAAGTGAGCTTTTAGTGCAGGGATTTAAAAAAAAGGGAACTAAATTGGAGTGTTTCAGACAGCAGTTGTATGAAGAGCCAAACTAAATCATGTGAAGCTACTCAAGTAAAGCCACAGACTAAAAATGTAGCAGAGAATGAGCTGTTTGAGTTTAAGAAATGTTTAGCTATACAAAGTTTAAGAAAAAAAACCCATGTCTATTTTTTATGCTTCAAATAATTATTTGAAGCATAAAAATCGGTAACTTTAAGTAAATATAAAAATACATAACCATAAATAAAGATAAAAATAGATGACCTCATTTATGACTTTCTATCCACAAAGGAGGCAGGCTTAGTCTCGCTTCCACAACAGGTGCAGATCTTGGAAAGCATCTAAAAATCATTCAGTTAATTTAATAAACTGAATATTTTTATTGAGTCTCTCAGATATTAAACCTAAGTTCAATAACAATTTTCAACTTTTTAAGAGGTTTGCATACATAATTATACTTCGAGTTACAAGATAAAAATGCTCAAAACGACAAGTAACTTGCTGATGTCTGTGAAGGTTCTCAGTCATCCAGGTCATCGTAGTCAAAGGAGCTTGCAAAGAAAAGCGTCTGGACTTCTTTAAGTTGCTT